GTGTGTGTGTGTGTGTGTGTGTGTGTGGTGTGTGTGTGTGTGTGTTGTGTGTGTGTGTGTGTGTGTGTGTGTGTGTGTGTGTGTGTGTCATTGGGGCTCTGCGACGAGCTCAGTTGTTGAGACTTTATGACGTTGCCTGACTCTCAGCCTGGCAGGAACGGCGGGCGCTGCGGCCATCGAACCCCCGTACCTTTGGTTTCTCAGGTGTGTACTGTTAAAAGCAGACGCGTCAACCACTTCACTATCGGCACCATTGGAGAGTGTTTCAAATGAAAAGCAGTTCGGAGAGCTGAGATGGCCGAGGAGACGTGTCTGTTCGGAGCTAGTCTCGGAGACGAGTTCCAAGCCGCGGAATGACCATGGTGACACAGACCTGGACGATCGACACGGTCGCGAAGATTCAGCGACATTGCTCCAAGTGTGTCAGAATACTGGGCCAGCGACCAGCGGCTGCTCCCCCCCCCCCCCCCCCCCCACACACACCATCCAAGTCTGGGGCAGCCGACACAGACACCGGCGTGCCTGGCATGGACAGCGCCAGGACTTCGTCCGAGCCTGCGTGCCACACAAGGCACCGATCCGATCCTTGTCCTCACAGACTGGAGGAAGGTCAGCGCGCCCTCCGTGGCTCAGGCTGGGCAGTCGGGCGGCTCCCGGCACCGGCGGAAGCTTTCCGCGAGGATTTCCGCCGGATGGAGGCGGCGTTCTGCATCGCGCTACGGAGTCGCACCAGCTGAACAGGAGGTCAGAGGCGGCCGCCGACTTCCTGGCGACGCCACAAGCCAGGTTTCCCACCTTATCCCTTCTGCTGCGCTGAAGACCTTCACTCGCGTCCGAACAATCATGCACATGAAGGCTATCAACGAACCCAGACGGCGAAAACGACGGCCAAGTGTTGCAAACATTACGTTAAATAGATGCTGAGGTATGCCTAGCTACCACCAAGAGGTATGTACGCCCGCTGGATGAGCCGGCCAGGTGAGCTGGACGGCCGGCAGTCGTATATTCGTGCACACTCCTCCCGTGCGTGTGTACGCATGTGTGTGTGCGTGTGCTCTTGTTCACTTCAGGTAGTACCCATTGTGTATTGGACAAACATGGCACCCATCATTGGCTTGTTCATTTCGTATTGTTCTTCTTTGGGACCTTTGTAATGTTTGTTTCTTCGGCATCCTGGTGTAGTACAGCTTCTTTAACTTATTGCATAACTTTTTCGGCGTCCCGGTCATCACATCAACACAACTGAGCCTTGACTCAACTGTCACTCGGTTCTGCCGTATTTTCATAACGCGAGGTGATAAGGGACGGGATTGAGGGGACCCCATGGTATTTTCGTAATAATAGTGATAGAGCCTCGTGGGAAAAGAGCAGATTGGTCTCTGTAAGACCTCGCGATTGTTTGCGAATTTTGCATTCACATCACTTCCGTAGGCGAGCCCAAAGATTCTCGTGTATGTATCGTGAAAATAATACGCTTCATCTTAGCATGCCAACGTTCATGAAACCATGCGATGTGTGGCATCATTTAACGTGCATCGGCGTGCTTCCCGCGCAATTTTGGCCATTTCGACACATATGTTTTTGAACGAGTATGCATGGTGCAGGGGTTCCGTAAATGTAACAGTGCCATAAGGGGTAAATGCATAGCTTTCATAAATGTATCAGTGCTATAAGGGGCCTATGCAGTAGCTCCGTAAATATAACATTGTCACAAGGGGTTATGCAGGGTTCCGTAAATTTAGCCGTGCCAAGAAGGGTTATGCAGAGGCGCCGTAAATGTAACAGTGCCATTACGGGTTTATGCAGGGTTTCGGTAAATGTAAAAGTGCCATGGGGGCGTTATGTATGACTTTCGTAAATATAACAGTGTTATAAGGGGCTTATGCAGGGGTACGTAAATGTAACATTGCATAGGGGGTTATGCAGGGTTCCGTGGATTTAACCGTGCCGAGAAGGGTTGCACAGAGGCTCCGTAAATGTAACAGTGTCGTAAGAGGGTTATGCAGGGGTTCGGTAAATGTAACAGTGCCATAGGGGTGTTATGCATGGCTTTCGCAAATGCAGCGGTGCTATAAGAGGTTTATGCAGGGGTCCGTAAATGCAACAGATGAAGCTTCATACGATGTGGAAATGTTCATCTCAAATTGCCTTGTGATATATAGGAGGCTGAAGGAAAGGTGGACTGGTGTGCTGGCATCGTCACATATTCAGCTGGGCTCAACGTAAGCCCCAAAATCTAGTGGGTAAAACGTGTTAAAAAATGTGGTGTATGCGCTGTCCCAAACACAATGCACAAAATGCACAAAACCGGAGCACTTGCAGCTCTAGACCCCCTCTTTTATGCAGCATTCCTCAGTCCGCGTCATATGTTTCAGAACTAGCCATTCGGTTATGGCAGCAACAGCTTAGGAGTTGCGCTTCTCCGAAGAACAACCAGCATATGAAATCATATGGTCGCAGATGACATAAACACATTCCTGGGCCTTCTCCCAACAGATGACGGCATGCGTCAGCACTGACAGCGCTCCACGGCCTGTTGGGTGCACAGAAGCTGGTAGTGCCGGAAAAGGATTGGCTTGTTGGAGATAATCTCAGAAATACCTGGGCACGGACTGGTGAATCAGTGATGTATCTGCGCTTTTTACCGATGGCAGGGCAAAGAACTCAGAGGAATGATTGAAATGACCGATGATTTTACGCAGCCAGACCTGCTTTGCATGGTAGAGCTGCTTTGCATTTGCAACCAGAGCTGCTTTACATTTGCAGCCAGAGCTGCCTTGCTTTGCGTCTGCACATTGACGGGCCTGGTTTCAAATCGAGCGCACTTAATCCAGATAACAAGGGTCGTCTGGCTTAGGGGGCATGTCGTCGCCTATTGCTGGCATGCATTGTGATCTAAGCCGAAATGGCGCAGGCACGGGGGGGGGGGGGGCACAGGGGGCAGGTGCCCCATCCACTTAATGTTCGAGGGGCCTTTTGGGCTCCTCGCGACCGACGATTAAGGACCGAAAGGCCAGCCGGAGTTCGCACCCAGGGGCCCAACCCGCAGGGCCGGACGTTCTAATGCTAGCCAGAGGGCCCTTTCGGCTGACCGGGGACATCCTGAGTCTATAAGGGCTTAAATGCCGGTCAGACAGCACCAGCTCCGCACAGTAAGCTCAGTATCAGGATGTGTTTCAGGGCTCATTTTCAAGCACGAACAAAGCCGGGGCCAGTAATTAAAACTAGTCGGGGCCCCTGTACCTGTCACGGACCCACAGTGCCTAACAGGGGGTTCTGTGTTGGTGAGGGGCCCCGGTTCGACCAAGGGTAGTGTGCAATGAGGCCAGAAGAGAGGCCCGGGGGCCCACCGAAACTGACAACCAAGAGCCCTATTGGAGGCCCATCACACCGGCGGTGTGCGCTCAGAGCGCCCGGGTAATTGGTTGTCACGACTAATGTACGATTGGCGCTTACCGACGCTACCAAGCATTGGTGATCGTATCGAAGGCAAGTCTACGCATACTAATGTCAACAATAACATGCTCGTACCATGATAGCGAATCAGTTCGATTGCAACCGCTCCAGGCGACTGACCTACCGTAGCATATTGAACGGAGTGTCCCACATTCGTATGGGTTTCGAACTGTGGTAGCGATCTTTGGCGTTATTCGGGACAGTTTACAGCCCTGTCCCCCTTCAGACTCTAGTTCCTGAGCTACACGCCCGCGGAGATGTGCAGGCTTTTTGGTGCATTATATTTCAAGGCCACCCAGGGATGCATGGCGCTATTGACATGTCACTCAAATACTGTCACCTCACTGGTCATGCGGCGTTTGAGGCCAAGACAAATATATGATGGTCGAATTATTCGCGTCTGGCATGCGTGGGCACGATTTCTAGAACCAAAGGTCTTCAGTTCGGTCTTTACCAAAGTTATGCGTTCAATGCAAGTTTTAAACACAAATCACGTTCTGTCTTACATAATGCAGAAAGTTGGACAGTAGTACTAGTCATCACGAAAGTAAGGTTTTTGGAAAAAAATAACACCTATACTAAGCATGTGAATGCCAGTATTCGATGATAAATGCATGATAACAAGCAACATGCAATAAAAAAACAATAGATCCAGTAACATTTCATAAACTTCACAAGCATTAGAACCACAAGTATTAGTACATGTATATCTGTTTATTTAGTGAACAACAACCTGACGGGTTGATATGTCAGAGCACCACGAGAAGCGACCAAAACACGTGCAGGCAACGATATTTGGATTCTGGAAACGCTGCATCCATTGCAACGACACCTTGCACGAAGTTGAAGTACCACAAGTGAATCAGCCCGTCCGATAGGGAGATAATTTTGTGCAGCCAGCTTGGCGGCTCCCTGACGTCATACGAATGTTCTATGACGCAATTAAACGATGACGTATAAAGAAGCATATGTACTTAAGTGGAAGTACAGCAACTAGTAGAGTGGTTTGCATTTAAAAGTATACAAATAGCTATAAGTGAGCTTATTTCATCACATCTGATATTGCATCAGTTTCTCGAAATGTTGAGCATTCTCTCTAATCCACACGAACTTGTTGGTTTTTCGTCTTTGCCCTGGTCTTACCCTCACTCCTCTACTACCAAATTTTTATCGTCTGTCCTATCCGGCCAGTGGAGGAACAATTAACTTTTTTCAAAACGGGACTTATCACCCTGATTCTGGCGTATGCAGGTGGAAGTTCTGTTTCTTAAATGAATTTTTTTCTCGAATCGTGAACAACAAAGCAATCTCATTTCAAAGCGCGAGATTTTGCTACAAACGTATATTAACGAGAAAAAGCGATAATAATATTGAACAAGCAACAACCCAAGTCGCCATCACTGCAGTGAGACCTCTGCAGTGTAGCCATACGTACTGAATGTTGGGCAAACCCACAGCCCGTGCACAGACCATCACATCGCCTACCGCAGAGATAAGTTCTACACCAGACCGCATTCCCCGCTCTGCGACCTACCCACGCCGCCCTAAAACATGCCCGGTTTGTCTGCTGCGGCCCAGCCGTGCCCGTCAGCGGGTGCTGGCTCTGGCGTCGACCCTTCCTGCTGAGCAGCGCTGGGGGCAAACCGCACGCTGCCCGGCGCGTGCTGCTGGTGCAGCGCTGGGCTCGACCCGGCGCCGGAGAGCAGAGCGCCAGGACGGCGCTCGTCGGTCGGAGCGTGAGCCTGGTACGGCGGAGGCGGGTCCGGGTACCCTGCAACGGCCGAAGCAGGGTCACGGTGGTGGCAATGGTCACACTGCCCATTTTTTTCTCATGTTGAGTCCGTCGTTAAACCTGACCTCGCCCTTTCATTTCAAGCGCTAACGTTAATCTAGATTATGAAGGCCTTAACGAAAAGTAATTTGGTTCGAGGTTTACGGCGCCACTCAGCTGGGCTTGAAGGTGAGGAGGCCACTGCTACCTGGGTGGGAGATACCCCTCCAACTTGGGCTGCCTTATGGAGTGCTTGTGGAGTGCTTGGGAGTGCTCGTGTCGCTTGAGAGGTGCGCTCTACTCGAACCCGGAGTACCACTCCCCCTAACTTTGCAAACGTCTGTTTCTTCTGATGTCGAGTCTGCCGTTAAACTTGACCTCGCCCTTTCATTTCAAGCGCCTCGGCATTTAGTTCGGGGTGAGCCCAGTAGAACACTGCCAATATTTCAGTTTTGGACTTTCCCAGCTACCGAGAACGCAGACAGGGCTCATCAGGTCCTAGCTGTCTACTTGGTCTGTGCTGTACTTGTGCGGTCTGCTTGGAGTGCCCTTTCACCCGACTTTAGGCCCACCTCAACCAGAGCCCGGGGTAACCCTTCACCCGACTTTGGGCACACCTCAGCCAGAGCTCGGGGTAACCCTTCACCCGACTTTAGGCACACCTCAGCCAGAGCCCGGGGTAACCCTTCACCCGACTTTAGGCACGACCTCAGCCAGAGCCCGGGGTAACCCTTCACCCGACTTTAGGCACACCTCAGCCAGAGCCCGGGGTAACCCTTCACCCGACTTTGGGCACACCTCAGCCAGAGCCCGGGGTAACCCTTCACCCGACTTTGGGCACACCTCAGCCAGAGCCCGGGGTAACCCTTCACCCGACTTTAGGCACACCTCAGCCAGAGCCCGGGGTAACCCTTCACCCGACTTTAGGCCCACCTCACCCAGAGCCCGGGGTAACCCTTCACCCGACTTTAGGCACACCCTCAGCCAGAGCCCGGGGTAACCCTTCACCCGACTTTGGGCACACCTCAGCCAGATCCCGGGGTAACCCTTCACCCGACTTTGGGCACACCTCAACCAGAGCCCTGGGAGCCCTCTACCTATGTCTGTCGGCGCCTGCTCTCTTAAGCCGTCCTCTTCATACAGCTACGGACAGGCTTTGCTTGAGCTTATGGTGCCTCTCTGCTGGACTGGGCCCTATCTATTGAACTCAGGAACTTGGGCATTGGGTTCCATATACACTATTGGTTTGGAGGCACCTTACTTCGGCTTTGGGACTACCGGACAATGGACATGGACGAATGGGCATTACTAGAACGTTGGAGTGCTTATCTACTAAGGCTAGGGACACCATTTTTCTAGGAGTCTGGGGCACCGCTCCCCACCTAGGCTCTGGGCTTCTCCGCTTAAGCTTGAGACTTGCTTTGCCTGAATTTGAGACATCCCTCTGCGCAGGGGCTGTGAAGCCTTGGCTTCCATTCGAGTTTTGAGAATCTCTTCGCCTGGGTTTGGCATAATCCCTTTACAGGGCTTAGGAGGAACGACAGCTATACCGGAGTTGTATGCCCTTGTTTCGGGTCCGTGTCACTGAGTTTTCTTAATCGTACGAGAGGGCACCACATTTTATAGCGTTCAGGGGACCTACGCTCAAACTTGAGTACGGTTACACGTTTACTCTCTAATAATATACTTATGAATGCAATACGTATAATACGTACGTACGTAATACATAATAAAAATAACGATACGTAAAATGTGCAAAAGTAATGATAGTATACGCATCAAAATAATACGTGATGATGCTAACCCCTTATTATAATGCGTATAATAAGTGGTTATACGTATACTCCCTTCCAAAATTCTGCATTCTGGAAACTGTTTGTTATGCATTGCACACAAAAACATGGGGAATTGCCCTTTTGCCTTTTGGTATGGATAAATAATTATACGATTTGCAGGCACCAGGCCCAGGTTCACTGGTGGCAGCATATGGCGGACTATTTGCAGGCAGCAGGCTCAGGTTCAATGGTGGCAGCATAAGGTGGGCCATTTTAAGATTGCGATTTCGTAGTGAAGACCAAAGAAACCTTAAGCCTACATGCACAGCTGAAAAACCCTGGAGAAATGCAGTGAAGCTCTGCTGTCGAAAACCATTCGCTGCCTAAAGCAGGAACATCCGCCGGATATGACGAGGATCAACTAGCCAACGTTTAGGAAACTACGGCCCAGGCTGGAGGAGGGGCAACGCGGCTGACTTCCGGAGCAAAACAGCGGAAACTACAGCATCGTCGCTCACACCAAGGAGGAAAAGCCCCTGGGGTCGGAGAACATCCTAACACACTAGCGCTTCCTCTGTTTACGAACGTGGCTCGTGTGTTCGTACATCAAAAGCTCTATAGGTGGCAGCACCTGTTCGACCGACGTACCTGGAGTTCGGACTCTCGGCATGCCCTCGGTCCCGACTGGTGAAGGCTCCATGAAGGGATTGAGAGCAAACCGCTTCTCTTCTCCGCCTTCACAGAGCGGCGTGGGAGTCAGATCCCCAGTCAGAGCTGCAGTTGAGGTCCGGGCGGCAGCTACCATCACTGGCGCCGGATCGCGTGCTGGCGGCCCTTGGGACGGCTGGGCCCGCTCCGTCGTCTGCTGCGGAGCATTCGGCTGCGGGCGTTGGATCCCCTGTCCGGGAAGGGCAGAGCTGGCCGGCTCAATAATCTGCTGAGGCTGAGGTGCGGTCTGCTGCGGGGCAGACTGCTGATTTGGCTGCTGGTACGGCTGCTGATTTGGCTGCTGGTAAGGTTGCTGATATGTCTGCTGATTTGGCTGTTGGTATGGTTGCTGATTTGGCTGCCCATTTGGGTGTTGATATGGCTGCTGAATCGGCTGCTGATATGGCTGCTGATATGGCTGCTGACAGGGTTGCTGATACGGTTGTTGATTAGGTTGCTGATACGGTTGTTGATTTGGTTGCTGATTTGGATGCTGATACGGCTGCTGAACTGTTGGCTGATATGGCTGCTGACTCGGCTGCTGATATGGTTGCTGATATGGTTGCTGGTAGGGCTGCTGACCGGGCTGCTGGTAGCAGGGCTGAGACATCATAGGCATCATCATCATCTGCTGCTGCTGCTGCTGCTGCTGCTGGCCGCTGCTCTGCTGGTTGGTGCTGTTGCTCGTGTTGTTGCTCGTTACCACTGTGACTGCATCGCCCACGGCCTCCCTCTGTAGGGCAACTCTCGACTCGAAGAAATTTCGCAACTCCCGGACCAGGAGGTGGGCGGCGGCGGATGCCAGCACGTGCAGAACGAACCCGAAGAAGGTGATCAGCGCGTTCGTCAGGATCAGCGACTCGAATTCCTCTACCTGTGAAATACGAGAGCATGTTCCACAAGATTCAACAAGATGGGTTAAACAGGGTTTAATGAACGGAGGGTTCAGCGGTGCTAAAATGTTCTTGGGACCAAAATCGAGCGAACGTCCTGGCGACGATCACAACTATACGTGTTTATAAATGTTAATGGATCGCATTTGCATGCATTTCAAGTCAGCACAAGTTGGAGGAACGAAAACCAAGGAAGTGAAACGAAGTGCACTTTAATGAGCCATTCACCCCGGCGTCAAGCAAATGCCCGGGAGAGGGGCTTTAGGGTGACATCAGGGACATCGTACCTTTTTCAGTTCCCGCAGGATGCGAATGTTGAACGTGTAGAGGCAGCCCTGATTGATAGCCACCTCGTAAGTCTTTTCACTCAGCGACATGTTCTGCAGGTTCCATATGTAATCAAGTTTCGGAGCCAACTCCCTCCACTTGTCCTGGGAACTCCAGTCGTCCATGAAGTCCTTGGCGGCTGAGCTGATCTGGCCTCGCAGCGTGTCGGCCAGGTAACCTGTCAGACTCCTGCGTCGCAGCTCCGATCGGCCCGCACTGCACAGTGGATCATAGCCCAGTGTCATGTTCACTGGCTTCCTGGATTCACTGTTGTCGCTTGAGAGGAGCAGGCCCGCCACTTCACCGAACGCGATGTGCAGGGTCTTCTTCTTGGCGGAGTCGAAAATAGCGCGCATCTCATCGCCCCAAGAGAAATAGTGTGGCCCCATCCTTGCCGCGTCCAGGCTGCCCATCTCGTCCAACCAGCCCATGGCCCTGCCGAAGGCCTCCTTTTCCTCCGGCGAGACGCTCGTGAGCTGTGTGGAGGGCGGCACGTGACCTCTCATCACGCGTCGCACGTTGGGCGTGACGACAGTCAGCTGCTGGTATGACCGGAAGAGCGCCGCCGCCGTGCCGAACTCGACCAGGGCCATGGCGCCGGCCAGCAGCACGAACTGTCGACAGCTGGACGTCAGCCAAGCGGCGGTGCCGCCCGCTACACATACAGAACGCGTGCCCCATGTAGCGATGCGTCCTTGCACCACAACTGGGCGTCGCTCTGGGGCATCGAAACACGCACGGCTCTGGCATTAACAACGCAACATCCACCGCGAGTTAAAATACGAAATGGCTGAAAGACTTCCTACGAGGAAGTGCTGATGAAAAATACCCGGGACATTCACATCAACAGTATGGAAATATAGCGATAGATATGTTGACAAAACGTGTTGTGCTGGACGGAGCAAGGAGTTATAGGCTCTGCACACAAGAGGACAAAACATGAGCTGTTTTCTAAGTTCATGCTCTCTGTCCCACGAGATAAGTATGAGTGTGGTTATCGTTGTTTCAAACCAGAGTTCAACTTGTTACTTGACATTTAGATCCCATACTAGGCATCCACCTTAAGTGTCTGGCACATACCAGGAAGAGCGTGGTGTGGTTCTCGCAGCAGGTGCCGAACAGGCCAATAAAACCGATGGTGAAGATGATGAAGGAGATGACGATAACTGTTCGGTACGTCCTCCGGTTTCGCAGCACCAGGCTGCACTCACATGGATTTCTCTCTGCGCTGCATTCCTGGCGCACAATGTCGTGCTCCCACTTGATTCTGAACAGATATGGGCGGAACAATGCGTCAATGGGCACCAAAACAAGCAGAGAAACGAGTGTGGACAGGATACGGTACTAACCTAGACACTCATGGCATGCAGTTAAGATACGGATACGGTACTAACCTAGACACGCATGGTATACATTTTGCCTTGGAAAAAGTACATTGGAGCACACCAGATAGCATAAATCAGACTGCAGCAATTTATAGGTGTGTAACTTTATTCATCAATATTACAGCAGACTTCAGAGGTAAAGCAGTGCAGCTCACTCAGTGTAAGCAGCGGTCTTTGTTGTAGGTCATGCGAATGTTAGGACCAGTCAGCATGTGCATTCAAAGCAGAGGTACCTCATAGTTTTCAGGAACGGTATTAGCAGTGTGCAGGTACACACCAGCCGGGGCATCGCTTTATATGCGTTCCGGGAGACCTGAGCCCTCCCCTTTCTAATTCTTATTTGAGCCCCCAAACGTCGCCCTGAACCACCACAAGTGAACAAAAATGGAATACTGGTCCGAAGAAATGGATGTTTTTTGGGACGATTAGGCAATAAGTACACAGATGCATCACAATTAGAGGCATATGCATTTTGTACTGAGTAATGCCCTGCAGCTACAGATATATCTTTATCATGCCAAGTCCCTCATATAAATTCATATATAGACCAGTCTGCAAATGCTTTTGACAAGTTTTCGTTTGATAACACATGGACTGGAAAAAACAATTGAATGCAATATGCGGAAGCTCTTAAAAGTACAGGAAGGTCCAGATAAAAGTTAACTCACGTTCTCCTCAACAGCGGCTAGTGAATTTGTCGCGCAATCGTGACTGATGGTTTTTGAGCGCAAATTGAATGACGAATCACAAGTGAAAGATAGTCATAGGCTCCACACCTGTCGAGTCGCGCCAACAAAAGGTACCCCAGATGGCCCCTGGCGGTGCAAGATACAATGCAGCTGATCCTGCTACAGGTGCCCGATCGTCCGATCATTTGTACACGATGACTCCCTGCATCTTAAGTCTGAAGGTGGTCTTGAACTTTTGAAGGCTTGCTGGCCTGTCCATGTGGTTTTCGAGGTTACACCAAAGCATAAGTCCAGGGACCACACAGGGATCGCGCCCGTGTCGCGCGCGGTGTCACCCCGTTCCGCTGGAGCTATGTCACCCGTTGTCACCCAGTTCCCCATCCCGATCGATCTATTGAAGTCGACCAGGTCCTCCCAGAAGGGTATCAGAGCGGTTGCAATGCTCGGCGCGTTCCATCCGGTCCTCTGGCGGCACTTGGCCGTGCGCACAGCTGCTGTCACCGGCCGCGGGCTATCCCAGCCACGGACAAACAGCGAACGGTCGAGCGGTCAAACGGCAAACACTGGTCGCTTTCGTAACGTGACATTAAGGTACGATGCGAATCGGAACGAAACTGGAAAATATTAAAACAATCAAAATAACGCGCACCTCAGTGGACAATCGGACAATTGCAATCAGGGTAACGCATCGTTATACTGACCATGATTCAGTTAGGAAGGTCAAATCAGGCTAAACACCAAACAGCTTTCTCATTGGCAGCCTTGGGGTAGTTTATGACGCCCATTTTCAGTTCCTTGATCACAAAAACGTCCAAACAACCATACTAAACTCACCAAGGCAGGATTAGTAAATGACCTAAAATAAGCTCCACCAAGCTTCAGCTTTCAGGAACTTGCCGTTCATGACCGTTATGTTACGTTCAAGTATAAAAATTATCATTGAAGATTTTTGCTAATTTTGACCTTTTTTGGTCAGATGAGGTCACAGACCTGATGTGAATCTGAACAGCGTTTGACGTAGAAAAGGTACCGCGGTAAAACTGGGGCGCGAGAGATCTGAAGGCACATGAGACGTGGTTCTCAAGTTAGACCTTGTTCGACGTTATTTGAGCCGAAAGTCATAGTCCAGAGGTCTGCAAATGTGGCACAAACAAGTTCACATAGAGGTCTAGCTATCCGGTGAATCTGGTGTGTCTATTAGCTTGGATATATCAGCGGGCTCGAATACAACAACTCATCCTCCGAGCGCGCCCTGGCTATCAGTGCCAGGTACCAGGTCAAGCGCCTCCCGGTACATCGCTGAAGTACGAAAGAGCGTGTACTGATTTGTTACCGACTGCGGGCACCGCAGTGCCAAAATCTTAAATCCCTTATTCAAAGCAATGACCGACATATTGGATCGCTATGTGACACGTTATGTTATCGTTATCGTTATCGTTATGTTATGTGACGTATCGTGTTTACAATAAACTAGACCGGCCCTCGCTTGATGCAGCAGTTGCGCCACCATCCGCAGTATATGAGATAAAGGAAAATGTCTTCCAAGTTTTTAAAACACAATTCGATTTCCACGATAAAGCTCTAAAGCCGTTGGAGAACCTCCTATCGCATAATACCAACACACATTCGTTCTTTGTTCCAAGCTTTGCGGTCGATTTCGCATTTTAAAAGATTTCAAAAGTTTGCCTTCAAAAGCTTATGTGTCGAAACTGGTCCAAACCAGTGAAAGGAGAGGATACAATCGACATCGGATTTCAATGCAAGATGCAAACTATGCGTTACAACACTTATGTCAGAACATTTTGACTGTAACTCATTCTAAAGCATCCTAGCCTTAACCCTGAAAAATAAAACATTAATTCTCCGCGATTGATTACATAAACCGGTAGTTATAACTCACTCCTTAGATAAATCAAGTTGAAGCATACTATAAACATTAAATACGCCGACACACACCTACCACCGCCAAATTCACGCACCATACTGCGCACATATTTTTCAAGCAGTCATCGTTCCAGAGGTATAATCCTCCTCCCAGCGGTATTCCGAGCTGGCCCGTTCAGCGTGGTACAGCTTCGTCGCGAGCTCCTTGAGAGAGCGCGGAAAGCCAGGGAAATCAGACAGGCGTGGGCAGAGGCGCATGACACCAGCCAAACGGTGGAGGCAAAAATAGCCAACACATAGCATGCATCTGCGGGCTTGATCATTCCTAGTGTCGTAGTACTGGTAAATCAGCTTGCAAGACGGACGGGACTATTTTGCCCAATAATTAGCACAGACCCGACTCAACAGCCAGATCAATACTGTCTAATCCGATTGTTAAAACAGAAGGTTGGGCAAAAACAAAGCTTAAGTAAGTTGTTAAACGCAGTTGCAAGGAACGTTATTCACATGCATAAGGCAGCAGTCATAGCGTTATTCATCGGAAAAAGGCAGGAGACTCCTGCTATTCGTATAGATAAAGGCATGGTGCCGAAATAACAATGCATCCTATCTCCATTCCCCTGTTTTCTCTCCGATGAACAACGCTACGGCTATTGTTTTATCTACGTCAAAAACAGACCATTCTGTTAGTTTTGCACCCTTTGCTCCGCCTCGCTGAAGGCTTGAATCGTCGGCTAACATTGCATAACACCCACCATAAAATGGGTTCAACCAATCAATAGTATCACGGTCACAGCCAGGACGTTGTTGAAAGTGGTAGATCTCAATAACGATGCTCATACTAATTTTGGACTTTTTATCGGGAACCTCTTGTGGTGAAAAGAGGCAAAATGCGGTACCAAGGGGGGTGGGACAGTATCTTCTGTTATTTTGAAGGCTGATGATCGCCGGTATGAAATCGCCAAACTCATGATGCCAAAAAACCAGGGGCTCATGGCGTTTCGTGCTGATATCACTGATTCGACCTGTCATGTCACCAGTCGGTTGGCGAGTGGCACGTTCAGATTTCGTCTGACGAATCACTTGTTATCACTGTTTGTTGTTAGTACGAGCATAAGCGCATGGTGACGAAGGACGAGTGGTGATAGGTGAGGGGGCCTCACCTGACCAGGTCGAGAGGTGTGTGAGCTTTCTCCAGACGTTCGACCATGTACTGTGTGGCCTCGGAGTCATCGCCGGACATCTTCCACCACATGCGCAAACCGAAATATAGCAGCAGAATGCCGAACACCTGCCGCCGTACATCGTCTCATTGGCAGGCGGGAAGACAAGCCACTCGGCCAGCAATATATGGCGTGATCGAGATATGGCACGTTCGGCGTATGATCACAGGTGTGATGAAAACCGATTTTGTTTTTTGACTGATCGAACGTGCTTCGCTCAATTTGAATGTAAAGGTTTGAACGTCACGCGTCCACACATTTGGATATCCGGCACTCAAAGCGTACATTACATGCGGGTCAGATTCGCAGACAACGGATGCGCAAACATGTTACACAGTACTGCGCCTACTTCCCACGGACTTCAAGAATATGAAGCTAAGATATGGGAAAAAAGCAGATGCGACTGAGGGCCGATCAGACTTACTTCTACTCAGACTTACCACCGACGCGACTGAGCCGATCAAGACAACCACCTTCTGCCACGTGCCAACGCCAGACCACGATCCACAGCCGGTGACTCGGATCCGACTCCAACCTCCCCAACCCCTGTTCCTGTACCTCATTCTCTCCTGTTCCTCGCACCACCCTTCACTGTCTTGAGCTCAAGCCGCTAGCGGACTGGACGCACGAAGCCGCCCGCGCCAACAGGGGACCAGGACATGTCCAGCCGTGGTTCGCAAAGTCACCGGCAGATGCCGGCCCGCCCGCGAGTCAAGGTCTATCACTGCCCGGGGGTTTGGTGCATTGCTTGCTAAAGGACGCCAGTGACCGTAGCCCATGGAACCAATATTTGGGGCTCAGTTTGAAGAATTCAGCATAGCAGATGCAGCATGGTAGCGACCACGCCAACGTTATGGAAATCACGCCACTTTTAGCATTTGCTATTGCATATTACTTTCGGTTGCTACGCCACAACGACCCAAGTCATACTTGATTTACATGCCTACGAGCTACCTTTAGAGGAAAATTGCCTGCAATATTTTAAGACCATTGCACTTTCCTGCCGTCGATGACGTCTTGCCAAGATATTGCATGACACGAGAGAACGGCATTGCAACACTCGGCTGGCGAAATGGCCGGGATACTCGCGCAGTGCTGCAGTGATGGTTTTAACGCATAAAATGACAGCGAAAAATAAATTAATGCGCATCTCAGTTCAGGAGAAATTTGAATAAAGGGTGGCGTTACCTAGCCTGTTAACATCGACCTAACCCACAAGCTGGTGTCGTCTCCCACCCAGCGCAACCCGACCATCCGGTCATGTTTCATGTTTCTCCGAAAAATCGCACAAGTTATGTGATGCGTAGAATCAACCCGGTCACAATATCAGGACACCTGACCTGAGGCTCACGAGATATGACCCAAGGCGTTGGCATGTCCTTAGCGCTGTAGCAATAATACAAATTTGTGAAATATTACGAAAGTATGTGCTGTTGACACCGCAGTCATTTAGGCAATCAAACTAAGAGCAAAAAAGCCATCTAGATAAATTTGGAAAAGAGACCTCGTGACATATGCCGATGTTTATTATGTCAACTTTGCATAATGTCTGCTCTTAGTATCGTATTCTGCAGAAAACTCTTTTCGTGTGTTGGCCTTCTATATAAAGATATGAGCGTACAAATGCCTACATCATATTACCACAGCTCAAAACATAGCTAAACTTACTCATTTTGTTACTCGGACGCCACAGAAATAAACTTTTTTACCAACTAGCATGCGGCTCCATCGCATTGAAAACCACTCACATCTCCTTGCGATCTGATAACAGTGCTTGTCTGGTGCGTTAAATCCCCCTAGCACAGTATCAGCTCCGTTTGGCTTACAAGTCACCATGCCGAGAACTCGAGGTTTTTCGTGGGTCTGACGTAACGTTGATATGCGCTGACCACCCAAGTGGCACGGGGCGCAGACTCCGCACTATTCTCGTCCTTACTCCCAGCGTTTACCAGGCGTCCAGTGTTTGACCTGGTGGGGCGCGCCTGCCTCGGCATCAGCGAGCCTCACGGCGACCTGGGTACGGGTGGTCTGGGTGCAGGCGTTCTGGATAAAGCCATTCTGGGTACAGACGGCCTGAGTACAGGCGGCCTGGATACAGGCAGTTAATGTGGAGGTCAGCCGACGGGTGAGCTACAAAAGTGTGATGCGCATGTAGAACAAGATAAAACAGATGGTTTACATCCCTTTTAGTTCTACCCAGGCATCGAGTTGCAAAATATGTTAAGAGGTATTTTTAAGGTTTGCCTCAATAATCGATCGAGTGAGTGTTGTATCACCATGAAATTACGCATTATATCATCCCCAGTCCTCGCCAGGGGTGGCACAGTATAGAGCGGGTACTTCTTGCATTTCCCTTCCCTGCCGACAACCGGAAGGAGGAAGGCAGGAATGCGTTCTTGCTCCTCAATGTTTCGGGAAGCACCTTTGGCCCAAACGGAAAGTTATGTAGCTTTACATGTGATATCAAAACTCAGTCTTTAAGGCCCCTGTAACTGAGCTAGTGGCTAGTGGCTTACGAGAACATGGCTAATCCATGTTTGTCTCAAAATGTTCAAGATTCAGTCAGAACTGATTACTGATAAAAAAACTACGTAGCATGGTTTTGAACATGCTCGCTGGCAAGTCATGGCAACAACAGCCCCAACTCCCGGCGTTGCAGTCTTCACGGGCCGCGTGGCGTCAGCCCTGCGGGTTATGATACTAAGCGATGGACATGACCATGAGCGGACGATGGCCATGACATCATACGATGGCCATGGCCATGATGGCCATGACCGGATGAAAAAGATGACGCAATTTGAGGAAGATGGCTAGTGAACCAGGTAAAATCAGCTCTAACGTAGTGCAGAAGTAAGCTAAACATAACCTTAATCTGAACAATGGGGGGGAAGTTAACATTGCTGGTCCCCCACCTTCGAAAGCGGGGGCCATGGCTCAGCTGCCCCCCCCCCCCCCCCCCTCTTGTTCCTACACCCATGATTCCAGTCGTTGGTTAGCATTACGGCCGGCGCCTAGCGGCTCGCCGCGCATTGAAGTCTCAGTCCCAGTGACGTACGCTAACGTTAAGCGAAGATGAAGCGAGAATCATCGGACGGTTTTACCTGTCTCATACGGCCTTGGCCTTGTGTGCTCGTGTGCCGCTCAACACTGTAAAATGGCACACGGGTGTAACTAGGATCTGGGGACAATGGATTTCCCTGACGAACTTTTTGGTCAGGACAGCCATCTTCCTGGTATGGAAAATAATTTGTGGTAGCTCCCAGTGCGCACAAGACTAAATGATGTGGTAATAATGCACGAAATAAAGCTTGGGTTTTTACATGCTTTTTGACTTGACTGTATGGTTTTTGAACTAAGTTCCTTTGAACAAGGCCCACTTAGAAATATCATGTGCAGGTTGATTTAGTAAGTCATTGAAAAGATAGCAGTTGGTGATCAACAAGGTTAAGGTGGCCTACTAATATATACTAGCATTACTAGTAATCTAATAGATGAATGGGTTGTGAAGTGTTGAACTCATCACCCTGGGAAGTGGAATCTGGTCCTGTTACCTGGAACCTAGTACCTGGTGCATTATGATCCTAAGTTTTATGATGTTAACAATAATCTTGAGGTGTTTTGCTAATGCACTTGTATAGTTAAGGTGTATCAACGTGGTCATTTTGGTACAACCTATCTTAGACAGTGCAACATTATAATGTATGTTAAGTAATCAAAGAAGTGTAAGGCTTGAAGCTTGCTTTATGTATGCACCTCAATTTAGTTTCCTGCTAAGAGCATTATTGCAGCTATTTCTCTTATGTTGTGAGAATACATGTTTTGTATATAGGCATGTCAGTTTCTCTCTTCTTACCTCCATAGATCACAGCAATCCAGTGATGATATCTTGCAAGGCAAATATTTTATACACATGGATGTCAAAAATCTGTCAGTCGTCATGTTATTTCACAGGCCCCCTGCCAGAAGATGTTCTGGCATGTTGTGACATGTGCGGAGGAAAGCATCTGACCATGGATTGTCAGCTGCTTCTGGAAGCTCCCAGGGTATGTTTCTGGGCTGCAGATCTTGTTTAGTATTAAGCACTCAGCCTGATGCAGGCAATTCTGCCCTGGTGCAAACTGTGTGAGGAATTTGAGTTGAAAAAGGAAGTGCTTGGTTGCTGTTTTTAGTGGCTCTACATGGTCAAACTGAATGATCACCACAATTGTTACATGATTTGCAAGCTTGGCTGAAGTGGTATCCATGCTTCACTCCTGCAACATGTTATCAACAGCATGATGACTTGTGTGCCAGTGTGCACCATTCACAATGTAGTCTTTGAAATAATGCTGCTGTCTTGTTCCCACTCTCTCCCCTGCCTCCTGTGTCATGTCCCTTGTCCCTGCCTCTGTCTTTGTCTCCACTGATGGATGCTGAAAATGTGAAAGAAAGGATGCAATATCTCATTGAGTCAGTGTCTGATAAACTTTTGACGTGATCACATGTGATGCGTCCCGCCCCTGGTTGATGTTTTATCGTTGGTGTGTGTGGTAGGTCTGCGACAGCATCACCAGTCGGGCCCGTGTCACTCTGCCATCCATGTTGGGTCTGCGTCTCCACCTCGACTCTACCGTGTCGGTCACATCCACCACCCAGCTACAGAGCGGCACGTTGTTCGGACCGATGGTGGCGCCACGTATCGACAGCATTGCCAACCACCAGTTCCCGTTAAAGGCAAGAGAGGGCACTTATCGTCAAGCGCAGTCGGCATTCCAGAATGTCCATTTGTTTCATTTGTCCACTTCCCATCTATTATTGCTTGTGTAAACAGGACGTGCAATTGGTGTACTAGTATGATTCATAGTCATAATATACAAGCCTGAAAATGCAGTGTCAAGATTTCATGTGATATAATTAAGGAGCTGCATGACCTCCAACATCCTCCTCTGATGGCAGAACATCGGAAAAGTGTGCTATGCGTAACACAAACATCATTTAACTTGTCATATGGTCTCTTCTGTCCGCCATGCAGGTGTTTGGCACCAGCGACGGGTCAGACCAGTTTCTGGATACCAGTGATGAGGATCAGTGCAACTGGATGTGTCTGGTGTCACCATCTTCGGAGCCACACCTGCAGAACCTGGTCTGCCTGCAGGCACGTGACCTGGTGTTAACTGCGTGGGAAGGGGAGAGGCATGGCCCGATAGGATGCTCCTAGTGTGGGTCGGATGGTTGGAGCAAGCTGCTACTCAAGTCTGACTGGAGGGACTTTTTCCAAGGTTTGTAAAAAATGGGAAGCTTTTTGGAAATTGGATGGGGCGATGTAGACTTGCCTTGTTCTTGAGGCTCAGGCCAGTCAGATTCTGACATCTATAGCATAACACCCCAGCTAGTAATCTTTTATTAGCCATCATCACCACAGCAGGGCCAGTATGGTCCTGCTTTCATCACATACATTCGCTCAGTATAAGACTGTCATTTTTCAAAAAAATTTGTCCAGGCTGCTGAAGGTGCATTTGTTTGCATTTTATAAAATGGAGTGCCCGTCTTTTCAACGGGCGATTTCCGTAATCGTTGTCCACATCAAACAGTGCTTATGCAATGTGAGCAGTGCCTGTGCCATGATTCTGCCATCTGATCATGCAATGGCGGGTCAGTGGCTGCGTGCAGGGCGAAAGCTGAATGTGCCACGGTGCGCGGCACGGTCTGCCCCGCCCGCTGACGTCACCTGACCTTGAGCCCAGCTGCTCCCCCTGGTCACCAGGTCACCGCAGTCAGCGGCGAGTCTGGAGTGACTTGAACCCACCCCGCCCCAGACAGTCAAATCAGTAGGCGGGCGAGCAAAGCACCGGAAAGGTCTGGACGGGCTAGGAGAACAGGAAGTAAACCACTAATGAGCAAATATTTAAGGGTAAAATGAATAGCATTGTCAGAATATTGGAATATTTTGCCTAAGAAAGAGCTGTGCGTGAAAAGGAAATGCTGCACTGTAGATTCGTGATCCGTGGCAATTGAGAGCTGGCTGGCGTTGTGTTTATGACTGGTTTATGTTCAGGGTGATACCTTGGCTCTGTGCTCAATACAATATTAAGTTTTATGGATTGAAGCTCACTCTTATGAAAATTCACTCATTTTTTGGAAACTAGCTCACTGTGCATAAGCACTTGTAGATGTACACATATTTGTATCCATTCAGTTGGTGTCCTTGATTTGATGTTTTGCCCTCGTCTATCCTCGGTCCCAAAGCTCCTCATCTGGCGTTGGATGGCAGTGACACTGTCCTGGCAACATGCTCCGAACAGCTTGGGGTGGACGGCGGCAACAGTTTAGCCAAACTCCGGGCCTGTGCATTCATTCATAATGGCATGCAATGGAATGGATTGAGAGGCAGGCGACGTCATATAGCCTCAGCAGCTGAGTGCGTCGTAAAGCCCCAATGACACTAGTCCTTAATCAATTTGACGTCCCGTCACTCAGGGCGTGTGTAGCAATACTGCCATGCATTGACATGATTGCTAATAAATAAAAGTGTCAATACCATACCATTTACCGATCGACGGTACTTTAGGTCCGTGCACGACACGACTGCGTGTGACGGTAAGCGGCTGTGTCCGTCAGATGGGACAGGACATCTACTACCTGGTGCGGCGCGCCGTGCCGGCTGGCTCCGAGCTGCGAGTCTGGTACTCGCCCTTCTACGCCCAGAAGCTGCGACACACGCTGGCGGTGGGCGTGCCGGGCCAGCCGCCGCCCGACGTCACCGAGGTGGTGCTCATTCGGGAGCGGAGCCCCGGCCACCCAGCCGAGGTCAGTCCCGCTGCTGGCTCGAGACGCTCGGACCGGGACGGCGTCAGGTCCCTGTGACGTCGTGCGATCCGACGTCTGGCCCCACCTGCCAACCCTGTCTATCGTCATTATTCCCCTCCCATGTCACTGGACCCACCGACCCTGTCCATCATCATCAGTCCCCTCTCATGTCACTGGACCCACCGACCCTGTCCATCATCATCAGTCCCCTCCCATGTCACTGGACCCACCGACCCTGTCCATCATAATCAGTCCCCTCTCATGTCACTGGACCCACCGACCCTGTCCATCATCATCAGTCCCCTCTCATGTCACTGGACCCACCGACCCTGTCCATCATCATCAGTCCCCTCCCATGTCACTGGACCCACCGACCCTGTCCATCATAATCAGTCCCCTCTCATGTCACTGGACCCACCGACCCTGTCCATCATCATCAGTCCCCTCTCATGTCACTGGACCTACCGACCCTGTCCATCATCATCAGTCCCCTCTCATGTCACTGGACCCACCGACCCTGTCCATCATCATCAGTCCCGTCTCATGTCGCTGGACCCACCGACCCTGTCCATCATCATCAGTCCCCTCTCATGTCACTGGACCCACCGACCCTGTCCATCATCATCAGTCCCCTCTCATGTCACTGGACCTACCGACCCTGTCCATCATAATCAGTCCCCTCTCATGTCACTGGACCTACCAACCCTGTCCATCATCATCAGTCCCCTCTTGTCACTGGACCCACCGACCCTATCAATCATCATCCGTCCCCTCCCATGTCTCTGGACCCACCGACCCTGTCCATCATCATCAGTCCCCTCCCATGTCATCGGAGTTACCGACCCTGTCCATCATCATCATTCCCCTCCCATGTCACTGGACCTACCCATCTGGCTGAGGTCAATCCCCGCTGGCGGCGCCTGGCGGACGTACAGGTGACACAGCGTGACCGCGCAGGCGTAACTCGCTCATGCTGGCGACACTCGCGAGTACTGATGATTGAAATGGCCTAAACGCAGCCACGAAATTGATTCTGTAACGTCAATGATTTAACTCCGACGACGGTCATGAAATTACACAGAACGTTAACACATCCTAGGCACCGCCTAGGCCAGTGTTCTCCGGTACCCACTCATCCTTGCCTGTCACTTTGTTACGTTAACTTCACATTATGAACTGCTCCTGCCATGCTTACACACCGTCCCCGTTCGCAGGCAGCGCCTGCTCTTCCTGCCAACACAGAGAGGCAGGGGCCGGCGGCTGCGGCCGGGCCAAGCCGGGACTGTCCCCTCTGCGAGCAGATCCCGGCCGGCGAGGTGGCGCTAGCGGACCACCTGCTGCAGCATCACGCCCGCCACCTGGCGGCAGAGACATCCGAGACCAGCTGCGCCCTGTGCAGCCGCCGCTGCGCCACGGGCCGCGCGCTGCTAGCCCACCTGCGCCGTCACCGCGGTGACCACCGCTGCACCAGCTGCCTCAAGGTGTGGGTCAGCTGTCTCCAACATTGGGACCAAGGATTCTCACAGCTGTCTCCGGGTGGGCCCACCAGCATGCCGATCTAAGGGTGAGCCCGTGGTCACAGCTGCCTCCGGGTGGGCCCACCAGCATGCCGATCTTAGGGTGGGCCCATGGTCACAGCTGTCTCCGGGTGGGCCCACCAGCATGCCGATCTAAGGGTGAGCCCGTGGTCACAGCTGCCTCCAGGTGGGGCCACTGGTCGCAGCTCCCGGGGCGGCACGGTGACCGCGGCCTCTTGCGTCGTCGCCTTGTGACCCTGTGCACCTCCCGCATAGTTCGCCTCTGATCTGACCGTGTCCTCTTCAGACGTTTGCAAGACGCCCGTCCCTGCTCTCACACCCGTGCCCGGGGCCGCAACGCGCCGCCGAGGGTCTCGCCTGCCCGCACTGCGGCCGGCTGTTCTCCTCGCCGGCCGTCTGGCGGCGCCACCTTCGCCGGCACTCGGGCGCGCTGCGCTGCGCCGACTGCGGTCGCCAGTTCGCCTCAGCGGCCACCCAAGCGGCGCACGTCTGCCGCACGCGCCTGCCTGTCCGCCGGCCTGCTGCCCTGCCCGCAGTGCTCGCGCCGCTTCGTCAGCGCCAGCAGCCTGCAGAAACACGCGGCGATACACTCGCAGCGCTTTGCGTGCTCGTGCTGTGGACGGCGCTTCTCGGGCGGCGCTGCGCTGCGCCGCCACGAGGCGCTGTGCGGCGCCGACGAACAGCTGCGCCGGGATGGCGCCGTCGCCTGCCGGCAGTGCGGCGCCCGGCTCGCCTCGGCGCCGGCGCTGGCCGAGCACGCGCGCGCGCACGAGCTGCCGCACCGCTGCTCCACGTGCGGCCAGCGGTTTCGCGCGCGCCTGCAGCTCGCCGCGCACGTGTGCTCGCGGCTGGCGCCGGAGCGGCCGGTGCCCGAGCGGCCAGCGTCGCCCGAACGGCCAGCGTCGCCCGGCGCGCGTCCGGCCGCCTCCGCCGCCGTCTGCGAGGTGTGCGCACAGACGTTCGGCAGCAAGAAGGCGCTCTGGCTGCACCGGTTCACGCACGCCGAGCGCCAGTTCGCCTGCGAAGTGTGCTTTAAGAAGTTCAAGCGGAAGGACACGATGATGGCACACTTGGCGACGCACGCGGAGGCGCAGGTCAGTCCTGTCGTTTGAGGTGCTCTGGTCTTCAGAGGGGTGACGGGAAAAGCGGTCTTTCTTTCACGTCCCAGATGCCTCCCTGAATTCTTAGTGGTGGTCCATGGCATTTGAATGTTATACTGGAAAAATCCCGTGAAGAAACCCATGACCAGAGATGTTTACGTATCAATGTTATTTGCCCCATGTTCACGTCTCTGCGCCGTTGTATACTCACTGGGGCGGGGGGGGGGGGGGGTACATTTGCTTTTACTACAATGCTACCATCACTGTGGACACAGCAACCTCTCTTGACTGGTGCCCCGTGTGACGCCTTGCTCCTTGTCAGGTGCCCTGCCCACACTGCGACGGTACCCTGTGTAACCCCCCACTCGCCAGTAGGTGCCCTGCCCACACTGCGACGGTACCCCGTGTAACCCCCTACTTGCCAGTGGGTGCCCTGCCCACACTGCGACGGTACCCCGTGTAACCCCCTACTCGCCATCAGGTGCCCTACCTGCACTGCGACGGTGTCCTGTTTAACACCCCGCTCGCTATGAGGTGCCCCGCCCACAGGGCACCTGCGACGGTGGCCCGTGTGATGCCCAGCTGGCTGCCAGGTGCCCTGTGCGCACTGCGACGGTACCCCGCCTAACGCCCCCCCCCCCCCCCCCCCCTCTCGCCGTCAGGTGCCCTGCCCGCACTGCGACAAACGGTTCAAGTCCGCCAAGTCGCTGGCGGTTCATGTGCGCCTGCACACGGGTGACGCGCGCTTCCCCTGCGATGTGTGCGGCAAGCCGTTCGTGCAGAAGGTCAACATGGAGCGGCACAGGCGCACCCACGAGCCCGACCACCGGCTGGCCAACAAGTGCGAGACGTGTGGCAAGTGCTTCAGTAGCCGCCATCACCTGAAGCACCACCAGCTGGAGCATAGCCAGGTCCGTGGAGGAGGAACGGAGGGGGTCTTACGGGCGGCTGCTGGGTGGAGAGGAGTGGGGCCATAGTTAACGTCGTGCGCTCCATTTTTCGGAGGAGGAGCATTGGTTTGTGCCACGCAGACCTTGTGTTTAGGAAAGCGGTTAAGTCTGGAAGTTGGACCGCTTTTCTGAGCAGAACGCATGTCGAGGTCAGACTGGGGACTTCGAAAGCACAACAGATACGGTTAAATAGAGGTGGAGGGCCGTCCACGTGATCGAAAGGCTGTCGACCGTGCACACTTGCCATGCGTCGTGTCGGGGTGTTGGAAACTGTGATCAAAGATTGCCATGCTGCAGATGACCATGACGGTTCGGTGACCCTTGTGCGTCCGCCCGCAGGGCCGGACCCATCGCTGCTCGGCGTGCTCGCGCACCTTCCTGAAGCCACGTGACCTGCAGCGCCACGTCTCACTGGCGCACGGCAGCGGCCAGTACGAGTGTCCCTTCTGCCACATGACCACGCGGCTGAAGAGCAGCATTAGGTGCGCTAGCCGCGGCGAGTTCGCTCTTGGGACAGACGGCTGGTGCACCTCGGTCTCGGTTAGCAGCTGCCGTCACTTAAAACTGAGTACTGTAGGGAGAACTTCTGGGTATGCCATTGTTATATTTGAGACGCGGAATAAGTGGTGTTTGTCTAAATGATTGCGACTTGTTTGTGACCATGCGCTTGCTCTGCCCGCTTGGTAGCCCGCGTTGTGCCCCCCCCCCCCCCCCCCCTCCTGTTCAGAGAGGGCGCTGACGGGGCGGCGTCTCTGTGTTCAGCCGTCACATGGCCAAGATGCATCGGGCGGAAGAGGAGCAGTGGTCGGCAGATGGCTTCCTGGACTCGCTCTACAGTGCCGGCCGCTCCGCCGACTCGATCCTCACGCTCGAGCCGAGCAGCACGCTGCTGCTGGCGCTGCCACCTGCCGGCGACACGCTGGACTCAAGCCTAGCGCGCTCGCCGTCGGCGGCGCTGTTGGTGGACGGCGCGGACGCCGACTCGGGCGTGTTGCTCTACGTGATTGATGTGCCCGAGATGGACATCACCTTCGACGGACAGACGTAGCCCCTGCGTGGGATGGGGGAGCGGATTATACCCTACCTCTCAACGGGTGGAGACAGAGGAGGCCTGGGGAAAGTGACGTGGAACCATTTGGCATCAGGGCGGTACATTTGTACATGGGTTTGTAAACTGGGTCACGAGTTTAATAATCCTGTTAACACTTGTTTTTTTAGTTTTAGATGTTTTGCCATGGGGTCTTCACGAGAGATGTGAAATGTCGATATTTATGTGGTGCAATTATATGTATCACGTTTAATCGATTGCAAGGCCTGTTACGCACAAACTCATGAGGCAGTTGTGTTTTCCTTGCGCAATGAACGTATTATTAAGACTACAAGACGTGGTTTGCAGCGTGTTTTGCGAAAGTGACATGCGACACAACGAAAAATGAAAGGACATTTTGTACCAAGCCGTACCAATTTTATGAGTACACGGACTGCAGTCAACATTTGCAGTCAACTGACAGTTTTTACCATTACGGGCACTGCAGTCAGCATGCGTTACGGCCATCACGCGACAACATCGCATCAAGCTGGTATAATGAATCGATACGCGGCCGCTACACACGATTTATACCGATGGTGAACTAAGGCCTCATTCCGTCTTTTGTGGTTTCGCGGGCTACGCTCCAGTGGATTAGGAAAACGGCTGAGAGTGTGGACGAAACCCTTTTTGGCGCAGAGATTGATATTCCATCCCGGCTGCCTCGTTTGCTTTCGCTGGTTTCTTCGAAAGGGTTTGGAGCAGGTCGTTGATATTGGCGTACCTATTCAAGGCACTACTTTAAGCATTGTGTCAAAATTTCGAGTTCGCACACTGCGTGAGGGCAGGTTCAGGGCGCGGCACCGAGGGTGTCGTCCACGAAACACGACAACCATGCCAAGATGGTGACCTTTCGGACTAAACGCACTGCTTTGTGGTAACAAATAGGCTAAATTGCTATGGAAATGTAGCAACGTAGCGTGGCGGAGGCAATCCCAGAGGTTATGGACGGGAGTTTCCAAACGGTATGGAGTTCGTTGCGTGCCGCCAATGCAGGTACATACGAGGTACCTCCCGGTATCTGGGTGCAAATATTTGCATTTTGGCCAATGTGAACACAAACAGTAGGCATACACTCTGACAAAGGCGCGCACAGAGCTCGCGGAAGAGGATACGGGGGAGCAAGGCGCCAAACCTATACAAACGCTACAGTGTTATTATGAATGTGTAGGGTAGACGAATATGTCTGAACGAAGCTGAAGGAAAAAATGTGCAGACTTCTCCATGGATGAAAGAAACGGGCTCTCGTGGTGTGGGATGCAAGGGCCTAAAAGAATACATTAACTGGCTTTTTGGGGGGGGGGGGGTGTCAACGGGACAAAATTACCCCGCCGTCTTTTGCGGCGAGGGCAAAACTGTTGGACCCCCAACCCATAAAAGATGGTACAGAAACGGTCCTTTGCTGTATGGAAATGATTTACATATTGTAAGGCACGGAAAGGGTATTTTCAGTCTTTCGCATGAACTCAGGAGGGTCCCTGTCTGTCTGGAAAGGATCCATCGTTGACTCGAAGAGGACCTCACAGTTCCCAAAATTGTCGATCATAGGCTCAAACAGACCGTTTAAAGCAGAGCAGGGATCAATTTTGCACTGAGAAGGTAAGAATTTCAGGTTCGAAAAGGCCCATCTCGCACCTTAGGCCTAGGAAGAGTCAATCTCTGGTCTGCAAACCCACAATAGGCTCAAAAAGGGCCCACCCCAAGTCCGGGCAGGGGCCATGGTAGACTCCGAAAGCGACCCTTCATGTTTAGAACGGATCCATTGTCGACACTTCAACTCAGTGCACGACCTATTTAAGATTGAAAATATTAACATCGTGGTCCAGGAAAGGGCCATGTCACCCTTGACCCGGGAAGGCACAAATCCGTCCCAAAAGTCCTGGCCTGCCCTTAAAAGACCCCGCTGAGTCCACGATAAATCCTTTCCAGACCTGAGGGACCACATCGGAACCTTGGACGTGCTTTTTTACCCGCCTACAATCAGAATGGGCCACCGTGGGTTTTGTTCGTCCCATTTGATCCCATTTCTCTGTTGATCCCAAGTCATACTTACCTATACTCAGACCACACCTAGAGTATTGTGTACAGGCTTCGTTCCCATGGTTCCAAAAATATATAGACTGGAAAGAGTACGACGGAAGGCGGCTAGGATGACAAATGGGGTTGGCGACTTAGAATATAAGAATAGGCTTAGGGCACTGGATTTATATTCCCTGAGGTATCGCAGAGTTAGAGGGGATCTGATAGAGGTATACAAGACTATGAAGAGTATTGACTAGGTAGATCTGCATGGGGCACTCGAAATTTGGCCGAGACATAGAGGACACCAGTTTCATGTAGCAAAAGGTAGAAGTAGAACTATCACGAGACAGATGCCACTAAGTCAAAAGGGAGTGAATTAATGGCATGGGTTGACAAACATAGTTGTGGGAAGTTCCTCTCTGACAACATTTAAAAACCGTTGGGCAAGTTCTATTGCTCTAAAGACCCCATTTATAGCCAAATTTATTTAAGGTTAGGTGATTAGTTTTGAGGATGTGTACGGGACCTGGGATAGGCCAACATCCTAGGGCCTTTGTGGCCCTACGGATATTCTGTCTTTACGTCTTTATGCCTTATTTTGCAGCGCATGTAAGATTTAGGCCTAGGAATGAACCACCTCTGATTAGAAAAAAACCATAGGGGCTTAAAAGGGCAAGAACTAGATTCAGAAAAGAGCCAGTAATAAGCTCAGGAAGCACATGTTGAGGCTGAGAACGGGCCATGAGTTCAAGCGGGGGCCCAAAAAGGGGACAAGTAAACGTATATTACGCAAATATAGGCTTGCCAGCTGTAACAGAAGACCGCCTAAAAACATATATATGCATGTAAAAGATCCTTGGATATCACCAGTGACCAGTGGCAGCGGGAGCATGAGTGCTGGGGGGGGGGGGGGGGACAGCGAGGAAACTGGACGCTCTCCCTCGCCATCTTTTAAGGTGATGGCAAAACTATTTATCTGCCCCCAACATCCTCACTTTTCAGGTAGACCGCAAAGGGCTTTTCCTTATGTGAAGATAATTCATCTGTTGTGTTACCAAACAACCACAGGGCCAGCCTTTTATCCGGAAAGGGTTCATCTTGGCCTGAAGAGGGCCCCTCCGGACCGGTTTGAGGGCCGAAGGTCTGGTCGGAGATCGTATTAACGGGCCCAACTCGTAGGGCCGGGTCTCAAATGCCAATCAGAGGGCCCTTCGCGTTCTGAGTTGATGGGGGCCCTGTGCCAGTCCAGGACCACTAGTACCGAACATTCGGCTCCGCTCCATGTCGATTTGGGCATGAGGGCCCATTTCTTGAGCAGGGAAAAGGCCTGAGCCCGTGATTTGCATTAGGCGGGATCCATGAGTCAATGATGGGTTCCTGTTTTGGTCAGGGTCCCACATTGCATAACAGGGGATCCTGTGTTGGCAAGGGGCTCCGAGTTGGCCAGGGGCAATGTTTGAGGGACCTCCGATTGGAAGGCCGAAAGACCCAAGGGGCTGGCTGTAGGTCACATGAACGATATCGGTCCTTACGGCCCTAACCCCAAATTTCAGTAATAGGGCTTCTGTCACCGATTTAGACTTCCATGGTCAATATGAAGCTCTCTTTTGTCCAGAGACCATCGGCATCCAAAAGTTGGCTCGAAGTCGGTCTGAGATCTGGAGGCCCATTTTCGTACAAGGGGCAAGGCGCTGGAACTGTGGGTCCGCAATCTGCATTGGTTGGGGCACATGAAGCAGTGATAGGACCCTGTGTCGTTCAGGGGCTCACAGTGGCCAACAGGAGCCCTGTGTCAGCAAGTGGCCTCGAGTCGGCCATGGGCCGTATTCGAGGGGCCCAAAGAGGGCCTGAATGTCCCTCGGGACCAAATATCAGGAGCGTGACTAGAAGGCTCGAGGGTGCGAAGGGTCCGCATGAGTTGCTGTAGGTCACATTAAGTACCCCACCCGTAGGGCCGCGAATTCACATCCTCTCACCCGATTGGGGACCTCCGTGACAGTGCGGGGCTCCATTTCGACCAGACCAACCACACTGAACGGCCGGCTACGTCACGATCTGGGCCCTGGGGACCCATTTTCAAGCAGGGTCGGGGCTGGGGCCCGTGATTTGCACCGGTCCATTGACGCCTGAAGCAACGGGGGTCCTGTTTACGAATGGGCCCCAAGTCGGCCAGGGGATATTTACTGAACAGGGACAGGGACGGGGCTCTGAACGGCAGAGGGTCTCGCATCTGTCGGGCCCTCTGAGAATGACAAGGAGATGTGAGAACTTATGACGATAGTCCACAACAAAACACCCTGGAATAGAAGTGTAATGTAATGGAAGGACCCTGCAGCAGACCAATGAAAGGACCCTGTGTTGTTTATGAAGCAGCGCAGCGCGGCGATCGTCCGTGGCCTAACGTTTCGGGTATGGAGCAGTTGACCTCCATGCCAACGAAAGCCCCGCTGACCACATGCCACAAGCAATCTTGTTGCTTCAATGATAGGTTCTACCCCAATCTGGGGCCAACTGCCCGTGTCTTCCAACTGCTTCCAACTGCTGCTCTTCAACTGCTTCGGCTTTCCACCGTCCCCAGAATGTCCATCTATTTGTAAAACCGACCAGTGAAACAAATTACATCTAGTAGTTTTTGACCCTGCGTGCCACCAGCCCTGCGTATCCAAAAGCTTTGACCCTGCGCTGCGTGCGTGCTCCCAATCTTAGGAACAAGAACGGTGATGGGCGGTGTTGCGGTTTCCGTTAAATCGGACGACGTCAGCCGTTGCAGACAATACCAGGAGGCGGCCACCGGACGCGCAACAACAGCCGACCGTCGTGAGACGATGCTTCCAAAAGTCTTACTCAAAATCACTCCGCGTCATTCAAAGATAACACTGTGGTGCATATTTCACCTTTATAAGCTTGATCTTGTTATCTGCACACTCTGATAGTTGAAGCGACGCGAAAAAATAGAGGTTCTGCCTTTCGTGCTCCACCATCAGTTTACAGCACGGTTCGCGCTGCTCTAAATACTTACCACTATATACTCCCGGCTTGCCTTCTAAACGTGTAAATAATTGTGTTTCAAGCTGTTGTTTATTTCATACAATACTTCATTCTTGCATTGTACACAATCATGTCATCAAGACATAATTAACACATGTATCATGAACATGGAGAATGTATGAATAAAAAACTCATGCATGATCTGCACACGGATCACATATCACACTCGTGCATGATAATACATACATCAGCCGTGCAC